GGAACCTTATTAGTTTCAACAAAAACAGATTCAAAAGCAGCTTCCTGTTCATCCAAAGAGTCAGCAGCTGTAGCTCCTTTAATTAGTGTTGTATTGGTAAAAGACTGCTGTTGCTTGGAAATTTTACTTGCTTCCACTGTTTTCCTACCTCTTCTTTTACCAAGAATCTTAACATAATTTGCAGGTATAAGTCCTGTTGTCTGACCATCAAGACTAGCCAGAAGCCAACCACGAACTTTGGGTTGTTGTTCTGATGGGAGGAAAAAAAAGACAGCTTTGTAATTATAACACACTTTGGAGGTCCACTAGAATAATATTAATGATTAAAATACATTATGTAAAATCTATCACACTTTAATAAAATCTATGAACAAGCAGACACACATGTATATTGAAATATCAAATGCTGAGTAGGCTTAACAGTTCTATATCTGCTGGGCATGGTGGCACACGCCTGTAACTCCAGCACTTGAAGAGGCTAGGAAAGGGATCATTGTGAGGTTGAGGCCACCCTGGGCTACATAGTGAGTTCAAGGCCGGACTAAACAACATGGCAAGACCCTATCTCAAACCAACCAACCCCCCAAAAAAAACCCAAACAAAACTCCCAGAACAGGTCTTTCTTCTCTTTTTTTTTTAAAAGATGAATTCTGCTCTGTTGCCCAAGATAGTCTTGACTTTCTGGGCTCCAGGGGTCATCCTGCCTCAGCCTTCTGAATACGTGGGATTACAGGTAGGTACCACTGAGCTTGGCTTCAGATCCAGTCTGATAATTTATATTTTTTAATTTCTTTCTGTACTGAAGAACATAAAGATTGTATCAGTTGGTCCATTCATTTGGTATGGAGATTCTGTCCTTCATAATCTGAAAATCAACATCAATATGTTTTATATTTTACATTGGAATCTAGGAAATAGCTTTTTCATTCCTTCTCAGTAATAAATTGGGGAAGGCACAAAAAATAAATGTAATCTTTTTTGTTTTACAGAGAAATGGTCTTATTACATTGTTCAGGCTAGTCCTGAATGTTTGTGGTCAAGCAACACGTCTCTCCTGCTTCAGTATTTTTGTTTGTTGTTTTTCTGAGACAGGTCTTGCTTTGTAGTTCAGGCAGGCCTCAAATTCATGGAAATCCTCCTGCTTTAACCTCCCAAGTACTGGTGTGTAACACCCTACCTGGTTCCTTTTTTGTTTTGTTTTTTGAGACAGAGTCTTACTGTATAGTTCAGGCTGCCCCTGAACTAACTATATAGCCCGGGCTGGCTTCAAACATGTAGCAATCCTTCTGCCTCAGCCTCCAGAGCACTGGAATTAAAGGCATGTGCCTGGCTACTCCTTTTTAAATTTTAAAGGGGCTGGGGAGATAGCTCAGTAGAATAAGCACTTCCCTGGCAAGCACAAAGTCCTGAGTTCAATCCCCAGTATTGCAAAAACAAACAAACAACACATTTTTAAATAGAAAGTTGCTAATTCGCTACATTTCCCAGCCTGGGCTTGAACTTGCCATTCTTTTTGCCTTAGCCTCTTGGAGTGCTAGGATTAGGGGCATATGCTATCATGACTGGCATGGTCAGTTTTCTTTATATACTTGGTTGAAACATAAAATTCACTTCATATGATTCTGAGAAACAATTCTGAAGATGGTGAATATTAATTTTAATTGAAGATGGGCAAAATCTTGAAGACTCCAGTTATCTCTAGCTATATGACAAAAAGACTTACTTAAAGGCAACACTCTAACCCTGAAATAAGAAAATTATTGAATAATAGTTCTATATTCTGTTCCATGCAACATTTCCCCATCTATTCTACCCTTATCTTTAAAAAGCTGCTGGGCGGGTGAGATAGCTCTTCGGACTAAGCGCCTGCTTTGGCAAGCACAGGGACTGGGGGTTCCATCCCTGGTCCCACATGCCGCACCAACCCTGCTTCCAGGGCGTGCTGAGCCAGTGACAGAGACAAGGCGTGGTGGCGCATACCTGTATCAAATACATTAAAAAAAAAAAAAAGCTGCTAAACTGTTACAATTTTGGGTCAACATTTAAAATCAGGTATACGATTCTCATACTTAAATCAATCATGTCTACAACTCATTTTGTTCTTAATGTTCAGTCATAGAAGTAAAGCCAAGGTGTTAAGAGGAACTTTTTTTTTTTTTTTAACATTTATTTATTTGTGTGTGTGTGGCCAGCACACCCCACCAGGGGGCGGGGCTGGCTGGCATGTGGTGCTGGGGGATTGAACCACGGTCGGTCCCTGTGTTTTGCCAAGCTTGTTCCAAGTAGGTGCTTTAGACCACTGAGCCATCTCACCAGCCCGGAACTTTTTTTTTTATGTACTTAGTACAGGGTCTATAGGGTCTCACTACACAGACTGTATTTGGAGTGATTCTCCTGTTTTCAGCCTCCCAAGTGCTGGGATTATAGGCACATGCCAACACGCCCAGGCTCAATCCCTGCTCACCATGCCCTGGGGGTGAGGGCCACATGGCACACCAGAAGAGGAACTTTTTGTTGAGGAATAATGAGACATAAATTTTATTCTGAAATACAACATAACTGAAAGAAATCCTGCTTTGCCTTGTACTCTTTTCTAATTTTCATTTTATTTTTTGTTTGTTTGAGACAGGGTCTTACATGAAGTTGAACTCCTTATGCATCCCAGGCTGGCCTTGATCCTCCTGCCTCAGTCCTCCCCAGTGTTGAGATTACAGGTGTGTATCACTATCCTCAGCTGTGGCCTTATCCTTTGTTTAGATTAACTGGAAAATAATTATCAGTGTTGTTTCTGTCTAATAAACCTTAAAAATAAACCATTTTTTTTGAGATCCAAAACAGCAAATTGCTATATTCATTAGAAGACACAAATACAATACCTAGAAGTCTTAGTTCTATGTATGTAAGAATGAGGTAGAGTTTTAGCAATGTGCTCCAAACATTTTGAAATGACTCAAGGCATTTTTTTGGTGCTGTTTAAAAAGTGAATAAAACCAGGGAGAGGGTGAAGTTTCCATTACCAGCTATTCCCATGGAAAAGTTAACCAAAGTGATCAAAAGCACTGGTGAAGTTGTACCACACCTTAGCTTTGTGAAACTGGTGAGGTCGCTCCTTTTGAGTCTGCTTCCTTGTGTGCAAAATGGGAGAAGGTAACAATGGCTCTCTGCAATGACTGTATCTCCACAAACACATAAAACTTTATAAAACAAAAACCAGCCAGGCATGGTAGTGCATGCTTGTAATCCCAGTACTTGGGAAGCTGAGGCAAGAGGATTTGCTATGAATTCAAAGGTAGCATGGCCTACAAACTGAGTTCAAGGCCAGCTTGAACCATACATAGTGAAGCCCTATCTCAAAAAGACAACACACACACAAAAACCAAGTCCAATCCAACCCAACCCAACCCAAAAAAGCCCTCTAAAACTTCTTGTCATCTTTACAAGTGAAAGGTGAAGGGAAAGGTCATTTTGTGTGGAGCCATGAAGAACTATTAGTAACCTGCTCCAAAAATAAACTTTAGAAGTACATAAATTTCTAAAGTTCTCTAATACTTCATGACAATACTGCTGAAAATACTCATGATGGAGTTTTCTGTAGCTGATACTCAGTAATTCCTGTGGATTTGTTACATTTAGTACTTCATGTTTTTGTGTGGGGATTAACAGAGTTTAGAATTCAAACTCTGTATTGAGTTTAGAAGAGACTATACAGATTCTCCTTATCTCAGCAAAATATTGAAATTTTTCTCTGGGGGCTTCTCTGATTGCCTTTGATCTGGAAGATCTAAACTGACATAATATAGAAATTTTAGTTTGTTTACACTTATCACAGACCCAGCCGCTGCCTTTGGCAGCAGAGACTCCATGATGGGGAAATCCTTTGCCAACTTCATGTGCAAAAAGGACTTTCATCCTGCCTCCAAGTCCAATATCAAGAAGGTATGGATGGCAGAACAGAAAATATCATATGATAAGAAGAAACAAGAAGAATTAATACAGCAATATCTCAAAGAACAAGAATCATATGATGACAGATTGCTTATAAGAGACGAATATGTAAAGAATGGCTTTAATTTCATGTACGGGGCCCCACCAGGAGCTAAAAAAGAAAGCAGAGAAAGAAGAAACAGAAGGAGAGACAGAATACCAATTTGAGTGGCAGATGGGGGCTCCATAGGAAAAATATGTGAAAGATGATATGAACATCTGAGACCAGCCTTTTGGAATTCAGGCTCAAAATGTGAGGTACATTAAGTGTGATAAATGGGGTCACATCAACACAGATCGAGAGTGTCCTTTGTTTGGTCTTTCTGGAATCAATGCAAGTTCAGTTCTCACTGATGGCTCAGGGCCATTGATGCACCCTTTGGAGCTAATAGCGGAGACAAGAAACAGTGGGTTTGCAATGATACAGTGGGTTTGCTGGGGAGAAGCTTGACTGCAAATGATTCATCACAGGAGTGTTGCAAGTGAGGGTGAAGCAGATCCAGAAGTTGAGTTCTTAAAAGTCACTAACAACCAAACAAAAACAGAAACTTCTCAGGAAATTGGACAGACCTGAAAAGAAAAATAAGAAAAAGAAGAGACAGAAAAAATAAAAAGTTATGCAAGACCAAAGGTAAACACAAAAGCACAAATCTTCCTCATCCTCCTCTTGCTCTTCCTTCTCTCCAGAGACTTCAGAAAGCAGCAGTGAGAGTGAGAGTGAGAGCAGAGCAAAGAAAATAGAAAAGAAGAAGAAGAAAAAAAAACCCCAAGCGTTTAGGAAGCAACAACAGTGCTTCTGAAGAGAAGTCTAAGAGAAAACTTTATGAAGAAGAAAGGGCTTGGGGGAGGGGCGGGAGGAGGAAGCA